TTGGCTGGAATATGCAAGAAATCTTATTACAGAAAAATATGCACTCCCCCGCAGTATTCGAATTTGCATTCCCCTAGGGGTAACCGTCATGAGATCTCATGGCTACAGAACGGGTCGATGACAAAAGATGAATCGCGCCTTTAAACAAACATTTTTCTTTGAGAGCCGAAATAGACATATCTGCTCAGTTCCATATTCTAATGTAAACAAAGCGATTTTTAAAGAAAAGGTATAGATGTTTTTATTTAGTAATCCCGCAGAATTTTATCACATAAACCTTATTTATAGTGAACTAGCAGCATGGCCCAGCGTTGCCCGTGCTTGATTCAAAAATCGTACGACTCATACAGCAATCGCTATCACTTGACTTAAAATATTTTTGCCCTTTCTTGCTTTTAAAGGAGTGCCCTTTGCCGTGCTGATGTTGCTACATGCCTTACTTCTTGCCTATCTCACACTGCGATTTTTTTTCTAAGCTCTATACTAAACATTAAATTTGTTACGAAAAAAGAACTAAACAAAATGAACCCAAAACGATCAGCTTTAAAAAAGGTATCGTAACTGGAAAAACCGAATGAAACAAGAATGTTAACAACAAATACTTTTTCACACCAAACCCAGTTCTGCGGAATCAGAATCAACGTTGAGTTTAAGCAAGCGAATGAGCCATGAGTAAAGTGCCATGCAGATTTAAATTTTTCCCACTTGTGACGAATGCAGCTATCGATTTTTTTGCATGCTAGCATGCTAGTTAACATTCGTGTCAGTCATCTGTTGGCTCTTACGCTGGCCGATAGAATCTTTCTGCCTATTCGTAGGCAGGCAGCTATAAGCTCACACTCTGGCCAGTAGAAAATGGCCGCAAACTACATGAAAACTGCCATAGAAACATGAAAAAATCGATTATTTTCATGGGAGTTGGGAAATGCAATGTCGGTCTTGGCCTTCCGCTAACTTGGAGCATCTACATGTAAATTTTGGTGCAAATCCGTCGAAAATTGCGGCCGTGCATTCGTTATTACACACACACACACACACACACACACACACACACACACACACACACACACACACACACAAAAATCCTGCAAACACATAGATAGAGATACTTGAATATTTATTTTCTTTCCGTCTATCGGCCTATTTTTAAAAATAATATATTCGAGAAAATATTCGTTTCTATATTTTTAGATTTTTTTTTTTTTTTTTCTTTTTTCATTCTATTTTCTTAAAATTATTTCAACTTTTTCTTTTTTTTTTTTTTTTATTTTTTTGACCTTTCTTTCTTTTTTTTGTTTTTTTTTTCTTTTTTTATTTTTTCTTTCTAAAAATTCTTTCTTTCTTTTTCAAACTTCAACCTGAAATTCTTCCTTTTTTCTTTTTTTTTTTATTTTCTCTTTCTTTTTACTTTTTCTTTCATTTTTCGTTTTTTTTCTTTTCAACCTTTCTTTTCTTTTTCTTTCTTTTTTTTTCCTTTTAAAAAATTTCTTTTTTTTTTCTGTTTCTTTCTTTTTTGAACATTTTTTTTTTTTTCGTTTTTCTTTTTTCCTTTTTCTTTCTTTCTTTTCATTTTTCTTTGCTTTTTCTTTTTTCTTTTTTTTTTCTTTAAATTTTCTTTCTTTTTTTTTCTTCAACCTGAATTCTTCCTTTTAAACCTTTTTTTTTCGTCCTTTTCTTAAAGAATTTTTTCTTTCTTATTCCTTTTTTTTCTTTCTTTTCTTTTCATTTTTCTTTCTTTTTTCAACCAATTTTCCTTTTTTTTTTTTTTTTTTTTTCTTTTCCAATTTTCTTTCTTTTTTTTCTTTCTTTTTTCTTTTCTTTTTCTGTTTCTTCAAAAATTTCTTTTTTTTTTTAGAATTTCCTTTTTTCTTTTTTTATTTTTTTTTTTTTTTTCCTTTCTTTTATTTCTTTTATTCTTTTTTTTAAATTATTTCTTTCTTTTTTTTTCTTTTTCTTTTTTTATTTCTTTCTTTGTTTCTTTCTTTTCTTTTTTTTCTTTTTCTTTTTTTTTTCTTTTTTCCTTCTTTTTTTCCTTTTTATTTTCTTTTTTCTTTCTTTTTTTTTTTCCAATTTTTCTTTCTTTTTTTTTTCTTTTCTTTCTTTTCCTTTCTTTCTTTCTTTCTTTTTCTTTTTAATTCTTCCTTTTTTTTTTTTCTTTTTTTTTTTCCAATTTCTCGTTTCCTTTTTTTTCTTTCTTTTTTTTTCTTTCTTTTTTCTTTCTTTCAAGAAATTCTTTTTCTTTCTTTCTTTTTTCTTTCTTTTCTTTTGAACTTTCTTTTTTTTCTTTTTCTTTTTTTTTTTTCTCTTTCTTTCTTTTCTTTTTTTTTTTTTTCTTTATTTTTTCTTTCTTTTCTTCTTTTTATTTTCTTTTTTTTCTTTTTTTCTTTTCTTTTCTTTCTTTTTTTTTTTTTTCTTTTCCTTTTTTTTCTTCTTTCTTTTTCTTTTCTTTTTTTATTTCTTCTTCTTTTTTTTCAACCTATTTTCCAATTTTTTTTCTTTT